ACTCAAGAATTTCCCAGCATTTTATGGAACCTGAAAGTTCATTACTGTGTTCACAAGAGCCCTCCACTGGTCTCTATCCTGAGCCAGATGAATCCAATCCATAGCATCCCATCCTGTCTCTCTAAGATCCATTTTAATATTGTCAACCCACCTACGTTTTGGTCTTCCCGAACAGCCATAGACTCCAATAAACAAGACGCGAACTTATAATAGCGAAGTTTCGGGTCAGAGACGAAGTCCCTTTTAAGGACCCGAGTCTGTGAAACGTTGTAGGTAGCCGGGGCTCTAGTGGCGATAACGGATAAGTTCATTATTCATCAGTGATCTGCCAGACGGCAGTCTCTTCCAAAACAGGAAGAGGAAACCATAAGTGCCTAGAGAAAAACTGGTGTTACTTCGTTCCCCACAGATCCGACAGACCGCTATGGATGAAATGTCTGGAGTCTGCTCACCTGAGCTACAGTGCATTTTTAAATTTAAATACTAATTATAAGGTAATCACAGTTGGGACGAACTCCACGGCGTCAAGACCGTTTCTGGGGCCCACGCAGCCTCCTACAAAATGGGTACTGCGGGGCAGTTTTTCTGGGGGTAAATCGGCCGGAGCGTGATGCTGACCACTCACCTTCATCTAGTGTCGATGTAAATAAGATTGCAGCTATATTTCCACTCCCCCACGCGTTTTCACGGTGTGGTACTCAATTTCTGTATTAAGCACAGGGAGAACTTTATTGAAGACAAAGATTAGAAGTGATTTTGAAAGAATCCTATATTTCATAACTGCAGAAGTTAAATCTCAATCATATTCATTAAACTGTCCCTGTACTTGATTAATTAAGCATCGCTCCATTAAGATGTACACGGAGTGGAGGTATAGCTCCAAAATTCTTGACCTCGACACTAGACGGAGGTAAATGGTCTGCTTCACGCCACGGCCGCTTCACCCTCGGTTAAAAGCCGTCGGTATCCCTCGTACAGGAGGCTCTGTGGGCTCCAGAGGAGGTCTGGACAGCTTGGGGAAGAGAAAATATCTTGCCCCTTCCGGGAATCTAACCGTGGCCCTCCAGCCCGTTGTCCGTCACTATACTGACTGAGCTACCTTCTATATTTATAATATACTACTGACAAAATATTTGCAAATCATGTTTGTTAGAAATATAATCCATACGCTTCATCAGTCTACACAACGCAGAGTTCAACACGTTGGCGTTGCGGCGTGACGCCATGTTGGAAAGTGGCCAGATTGCAGTAACCGGGACGTCATGGCATAAAGCGTACATACACACCCAAGTAGTTGAACTAATTATAAGCGTAGCAGCAGCTAGGATTTTGCACTTGAAACAACAAGCAGACAGCGCATGCGCCACAGTTTCTAAATTGCACACGAACCAAAACATGCAGCTCAAACCTTTCATAAAGTCGCTACTTAATTCATGAAGAGCGTGCTCCCCTTTACCACACAGATGTGTGTGTGCAACAACTGCCGGTAAATTCTGTGTGGAGTATGTAAAGACCACAGTGGTCACGCGGTGTCGTGCGGTTTCTTCGCCCGCTCGAAACCTGGGATTCGTGGGTTCGAATCAACCTCGAGACATGGATGTTCATGTTATATTTTATCGTCCTGTTGCACTGATTCATGTCCATGATTTATGCTAACCGTCTTACAGTGCACACACTTTTTTTACTCTTCTCTTTTACACTACATGTTTCAGCACTAATGTGCTATCTTCAGGTGCGTCTCTATGCACGTCAAACTACTGCATGCAATGCAAAAGTGTGTGCACTGTAAGACGGTTAGCATAAATCATGGACATGAATGTTTATGTGCGTTTATTCTCTTTGTGTTGTCCTATGTCTAGGTAGAGACTTTGCGATGGACTGATCCCCCGTTTAAGGAGTCCCACGGACTGTGTAAATGATTACGAAACTGAAGAAAGCGGCCAGGGCCCCAGAAAGGGCTCTAGACTCATTGATGAGCGAATGAACATAACGGGTTAAATTTGTGGGGTTTGGGAATAAGAATCTGTTCGATCACCGTAAACATTTAAAAAGTATCATATTGATCTTAGGTAAATGTACACAGACTGCTCCCAAGCTGATGGGAATGTGAATTATGAATAACCCATAAAATTTATGAATGCTGACTTTAGGAACGCTTAGCGGCCTCCGTAGTCTAGGGGTAACGTTCCCACCTCATGACTCAAGGTACGCGGGTTCAAAAACCCGGCAGAAGTCGTGGAATTTTTAAGGGCGGAAAAATTCAGGGAGCAAGTCCTCCGGGAGGGACTTTAAGCCTTGTGTCCCGTGTCGTAGATTTACGGCACGTAAAAGGACCTCATGTCTCTAGGAGGCCTCTGAGCTAAATCAGGCCCAACATTTCCCGCCCAGAGTAGTTTCCAATGCCTCCGGTAGATGGGGAAGTATTAGGTACCACTGCCAGAGGAGGGACGACCTCTCTGACAGAAAGGGACTAAAGTATTAGATACCACTGCCAAGTAGAGGGTAGAAACCTTGCTGGCAGAAAGGGACTAGGAACCCCTGCCAGAGGAGGGACGACATCGCTGACAGAAAGGGGCTGATAGCGAGCACCAGTATCGGTAGGGGATGGAGACTGTAGAAATTAAAAGGGGGATGTACAATAGACTATCAGTCGCGGTGCATGGGGAAACCCACCCCCTCAATACTGAATCACTGAATCACTTTAGGAACGCTTATTAATTTTGTTAGTTTCTCACTGCGCACAAATGCGCCCATCAGAGGAACCTAAAACACATATAAATGTACGGGTTATTTTTGAATACAGAAAATAAAATATTTTGAACAGAGGCCTATGCATCTTTTATTAGTACAAAGTTAAGGAATTTCTTGTGTCTTGCAATAACTAGAATACAAGGATGAAGCAGCACTAATAAATTCATACATTTCTTAATGAAAATACTTTTAGATATGATACGTATTTGAAAAATTTTAAAATAATACCTTTAAGCACGTGCTTTCGCGTAACCATTGATTTATTCACAGTTGTTTAACAGAGAAACAAGAACCAATCGGACTAATGCTATTTGCAACATAATTTCAAATTATGATCAAATTTTAAGTTGTGCAGTTCGATGGAGTAATATTTTTCATCACTACAACATGGCGAATTTATAAAAAATATTTATCCTAAACATAATTTACCTTCTAACTACGAATTTATAAGTAAAGCTATCCCTGTAACAGGCCGTGGAGGCCCATAGGGCTATGTGACGTCGAGGCTCCCACATTTTCTAGACAACCGGCTCACAGATGGCGGTGATGTTGTCAGCTTCACGCGTCGGCCGCCCTTTACCCCAGGAAGATTCCTGGCAGTCATTTCTGTTGGAGGATGAGTCTACACCAGGGCCATAGTGCGGCTGGAAGGATTAGGTCAATTGAAAAATCCAATGACGTGATCACGAATCAAACCCGCGATCTTTCAGCTTGTAGCATAGTGTCTCAACCAACTACGCTACCGCGTGCTCCCTCCTGAATTTTTAAGTGCTTGTACTTTAGGTCGGGCTAATAACCTTTCTGGAACTTGGCAAATTATGATAAGTTTTTATATTTGTGGTGAGGGGAGATATAAATTATACTGCTGAAGGGTGGGATATTCATTAATTAAGCAGAAAAAGTAAGATTTTATTGCGCTTTAAATGAATCCCGAGCTCCTATAAACGATAGATGCCAGTCGCCGAATCTTCAAACAGGAATGGAGCAATCTTCAACAACAAACGTATCCGTTGGTACGAACAGAAAAACCAGTCAGTTCAAACCTCTTCACACAACACGGGTTATGTTCATATTACGCACAGTTTAAGGCATTAAAATTATGAAATATCTGTATGGGTTGAGACTGCGAGTCGGTGTAGCGACTGGCTACGGGTTGTACGACCGAGGGGTCAGAGTTCGAGTCTCGGTGGCGTAAAGAATTTTCTCTTCTGTATGGCGTCCAGACTGGCTCTGAGGTCCATCCAGCCTCCTATCCCGTGGGCCGCGGGGTAAAGCGGCCGGACTGCGAAGCTGACGATTCACTTCCAACTAGTGCCAAGGTGAAAACGTGGGTTTACACATCCACTCCCCTATACGCCTTGATGACGTAGTGCTTAGTTAAGTACAGGGCAACTTTACCTTTTTTATGGGTTGAGATGACTATAGATTGCAGGCTTTTACTAATTTTGCTTCAAAACTTAGCAAGATAGTCCACGAGCAGCATTTCCTTCCAAATGCAAATTGCATAATATGCAGTGCTTACTTACTTAATTAGTTATGGAGCTGAGCCCTTCTTGAGAAGCCAAATCTGCAGCTACTCAAGAATTTCACAGCATTTTATGGAACCGAAAGGTTCATTAATGTGTTCACAAGAGCCCTCCACTGGTCCCTATCCTGAGCCAGATCAATCCAAACCATACATCACATTCTATCTCTGTAGGATCCATTTCAATATTGTCCACCCACCTACTCCTTGGTCTTCCCAGTGGTCTCTTGCCTTCTGGCTTTCCCACCAATATCCTATATGAATTCCGCTCCTCCCCCATTCGTGCTATATGCCCTGCCCACCCCATCCTCCTTGACTTGATCATTCTAATTATACTTGGAGAAGAGTACATGTTATGAAGCTCCTCATTATAATATGCAGTGTTTTCTTTTTTTTATTAATCATCAGCCAAAAATATGAATAATTTATATTTTCTGACGTAACAATTATGGAAAAATGGATTTCCATTAAGAAATTCATACGTATCTGTGTCTTTATATATTCACCCGAGTTTCTATACCATTTCGTATTAATAACATACTGAACGATATTCATAAGATCTGTGAAGATTATATTGGATGCGTAATAAATAAATAAACGTCAGTAAACTTAAGACGACACAAAATTTACCTTTATGAGCAACGTTTAGGAATACATTAATTAAACTTTTGAGAACAATACAATATTAATTGTTACTACATGAATATAAACTTAGTTTGCTTACTCGTTGTGTGGGATGTCTTCATCTTGTTCCAACGAAGTGGGTAGAAAGGCCATGAGCACCACAGAAAACAATAATAAACAGGAATAACATTGGACAATCTTCGAGTTTAATGAGAACATGGTCCAACTCATTCGCCTGCGACGCGCGTTCCCCATATTGCTCACACACACACACACAAGATCACAACACATTCACGTCACACATTACTGTTTATATTATTGTCTCGGGTTATTTCTAGGTACTATTTTACTAACATTAGCTTCGACTTGTTTTGTATACATATAAAAGAATTTCTATATCATCAAAAATGTGAAATGAAGTTACAACAATTACTTCGGAACACATGTGTCGCCTCGGTTCGCGTATAGTGGATGGTTCGTCGTGATTTTCCCAGTGACGTCCACACTGCGTTTGCGATACCCGTATGTATATTGTGGGCTCACTGCGCACGAAATGACACGACGCGTCGCCATCACCAGGTGCCCATTTCACTCCTACAAACTAAGACAGACAGAGACGTCTGAATAATTTGCCCACGTTCCATGTTCGGTGGCGATTTTCTGTCTAGTGTACGGTACCGCTATGTTACACAGGCGGGGGGGGGAGTGGAGGGGCCCGCTAGAGAGGGGAGGGAATGCAATGTGGCGTCCGTATCACAGAAACAGGAATACGTGTGGAAATTAATGCACTGTGGGTTGTAAGGGAAAGATTGAAAACACGTCACTGAAAAATTGGGGGGGAAANCCCCCCACCCTACCGCGTGTTTCTTTTACCTCAAATCACGTACCTCCTAGCGGACAATATGCGAAACTATAGTTCTGATTTGAATGTACAGATGTCAGTAGTTACACCTCGCCCATTGCTAATATTTCAAGTTGAAATTAGGGGCTCTTCCGTAAGCAAAAAAGGGGACCGGATTTGCAGTTGTTAGGGGCACCGAGATATTCAAAAAGTGGAGGCCCCTATCAGTATTGTTTTTGTTGTTATTGCTCTTACTTCTTATAACACCTAGAAATATAAACTAACTTTTCGCGACTTTAGAGAAGTAAATGTCTGAGTGAAATCTGTGGATTCTATTCCTGTTATTTGGAGGTTCCAGGGTGACTGTCCCGATAACTGCCCTCTTAAATCCGTCCATAGTAACATGCCACCGGAAATGTTCACCGTATTTCCGGTGACAAACACCTTCTCATAACAGAATTTACGATCAAGGTCTTAGTGATAATTTCAGAATTCTGTTGTTCTAAATTAAACAAACAAAACAAAATGAATTGCCTTAAAATGAAGTATGGGTGAAAAGAAATTCTTTAAAAGAAAAAGAAGCCAGAATTGTGAGCTCTGATATCCTCAAGACGGTTACTATGACGTACGCTGTATGCTGGGATGTGATGCAGTGAAGTCTGGTAAATATGTACTGTACACGTAGCATTCTGACTAATATTTTCCATGATTTTCCTCATTACCACCCGGAAAATGCCAGGAAGTGACTTAAAGATCACGGCTGTTTTTTCCACAATCCTCCGAAGACACTGGTCACAGTCATTCGAATCCTGGACGCTACAATCTCAACTCCTGACACCACTGTTAAACAAGTGGAAAATATATAATGTGCATATCTGCTCAAAGAAAGAACTGTGGAGCGACAGAAATAGCCGTTGCTAGCCAGGGGCTCTGAAGCAATACTCGCTGCTACGCAACGGATTTTTAATGAACAGGTATATGCGGCCGTTGCTGGGAAACGCCTTCACTAACAGGAAGGCTTTATAGTAATATTTTGAGTGCGTAATTTAGTGAGTCTGTGAAGGGACGACTAGGAAGTTGGTTTGAGAGGACCGTCAGTCTGGAAGCTAGTCAGAGAGCTGCAGTTCAGTCGCTGTGATCCGTGAGCTGGTAACTGAGGCACGGGTATAATTCGGGAACCTAGCGTAAAGGGAACGTTGGAAGACGTTACCAAGCAGCGGTTAGTGGAGACTGTAATAGACTGAGGGCACTAGTCTCCGTGTGTCAGTGATCTGTAGAGTGTAGTTCCGAGTGGTCAGTAAATCCAACTGCCAATCCGAACTCCCGTTGAGAGTCACTCTAACACGTGATAACAATATTAATTACGTGCAGGGACGTACCTTCTACCTTTATATTTACTTAATGTACTCTTTACGTCCAACTTCATACTACTAGCGAAACCTTTAAAAATCTTCCGAGAGTACGACATAGCGAAATAGCGACGTAGACAGATATGGCGTCATTAAAACGTTACTACATCCTATTTTTAACCTACGTCAGAAATAAAATCACGATTACCGAAATCTGGTTAAAATGCTGGACTTTTTTTCTCTCTCTTTAAGTTGGCCACTCATGGAATGATGATGCTTTGCCCAACAGTCGTTACACAGCAGGTCCTGACGGAGATATAACGGTCCCCTATCCCCTGCTTAGTTTTAATTGCGAACAGACCCCTCACGAGCTGTCTGGGAGGTCACACCTCCTGCTCAGGGTAGTGGCTGCTATTAACGCCCTGCTCCATGGAGTCTGTCAGCACTCGTCTGCTTGTAATTTCCCCAAGGACGTCTGCGTGTGGGGAGAAGACGGGCTTATGTGCTTGTCTGCACGGAAAGTGTACGCAGCAAGGGGTGACTTTGCTCATAATCTTCTTAGCATCAGTGTGGACGAAGTGCAGGAAATATGTACGGCCGTATATAGGACTGCATCTCTCTGTCTGTCTTAACGTCCATTTTTTTTAATTCGCTTAGTGGGGGGTCCAGCTGGGTCCATTCGGCACGGCGGCCACTGATTGGCCTATTGTACCTGCTTCGGGTGATTATGATGATGGAGAATTTGGTGGAATGAAGATTGGCAGGGGAAACCGAAGTACTCGGAGAAAACCCGCCCCAACGCCACTTTGTCCACCACAAATCCCACTTGACCAGACCCGGGATCGAACCCGGGCCGCCGCGGTGGGAAGCCAGCGACTAACCGCTTGAGCTATGGCGCGGCCTCTGTCTGTAAATCCACCCATCCTTCCGTCCGTCCGTCCGTCCATCCATCCATCCGGATGTATAAATCCACGCTACCTAACCTTGGCACTAATTGGGAATTGAGTGGTCAGCTTCACACTCTGGTGAGGAGTACGAGTTATAAAGCTCATCATTTTGTTGTTTCCTCCAGCCTCACAATATGCTTAGCATAACCGTTTGAGCGCTCCGCGCATAAGTCCTTCTACCACAGAAGTGCTCCCGTGACGTGAGCTGACGTAAGGAGCGTGACAGCCACGCTACCAGGACCGAGCTCTCGTTCAATAGACATGTCACTATAAGGTATTGTGTTCTGTGGCTGGCCCTAAAGCCAAACGTGTGTGNGGGGGGGGAGGGATGCTGCTTCACTCTGCAGCACGCGTTCTTTCAAATTTATTAAAATATTGTGACATGACACCTGAAAGTCGGAATAATGGAACCAGAGTAAACGTTAATTGCCAAGCAACAACTCGGTAGACAGGTTCCTGCAGCATTGAATACACAAGCAACAATCGAAGAACTGCTATTTTTATGCAACAGTTAGGTAAATACACCTCTATAACAATTCAGGAATTGTTAGGAAACTGTTTTTTCTGTTGGGGCCGTCCCAAGGCAATATAACGAGGATCTCAGTCCAACTGAAGAACTGAGGGAGTCTCTTGAGACGGCAGTCGAAGATGATTGAGAAGAAAGTTCAATTGAGACTTGGAATTAGGCTGTGCAAAGAAGACTTCATGTGTGCTGCAGTTGCAGTGCTGAAGTTCGTTACCAGGATATGACTAGAGAAGTCTGAGAACCGTGAAGTGTGTAGATCAGTAGTAGTGCTGACTGGTGTGTATAAGCAGTCTTAAAATCCATATCCCTTTATAGTCACACCCCATGCTAAACTAAGCACTGTGCCATGAAAAGGTATGGGGGAGTGGTTGTATAAATCCATGTATTCTTGACCTTGGCACTAGTTTGAGGTGAGTGGTCAGCTTCACTCCCTAGCCGCTTTACTGCTGGTACCCTTTGGATAGGAGGCTGGGTAGGTCTACAGAACTACAGAACATGTATCAATGACATGTTAAATATATATGATGTACAAGTTTTATGGTATGTGGGTATTTGGTATGGTATACCCACGCTATGTATCTATGTCCTTCCCACCGGGGTGGCCCGGGTTCGATCCCGGGTCTGGTCAAGTGGGATCTGTGGTGGACAAAGTGGCGCTGGGACAGGTTTTCTCAGAGTACTTTGGTTTCCCCTGCCAATCTTCATTCCACCAACTGCTCCACAATCACCATCACCTATCATCTGGGGCTGGTACAATAGGCCAGAAGTGGCCTCAGTACAAGAGCCTTAGTCCCACCCCACTGAGACACAAAACAGGATGCGACCAATGAAATTAAAAAAAAAAAACATTACTGTGAAAACTGAAGACATTAAACCCACGAAGGAAAAGACAGGAAGAAAAATTATTTATTGCTTTGAATGGCAATGTACATTTCTATTATAAATTAATTTACTGTTTTAACAAGTCAATAAATAATGTATATGTAAATGATTAATCAACAGAAACATCAGATGGTGCTAAAAACATGACAACTTTTGAAATATCTGCATGCAAATTTATTAAATTGAGCCACAAATGAACATTTTCCACAAAATATTTCTCTAGGAAACAAATAACTAAAAACTCCGAACATAAAATGCATGAACTCAGTTACAACAAATTACATCTTGTTTATAGCTAGGTAGTCAAACATAGTTAACTTCAATTGTCAACTGAATTAATTTTCTTTTCACAAATTATTTACAAGAAAATAAAATGCCAATTTAAACATAACTGGCCATGTGAGTCATTTATTTCCTGGAAAACTGTATACCCAGAATATTTTGTTTCCAGAAGCCAAATTAAAAGGTCCATCCTTTAACTCATGTTTCCCTTCTGCATGCAAACTTTTCCCCCACACTTAACAAACACATGGACTAATTTCATAGAAAATATCACACTGGATTTTTATTTTCAATCTGTATCAATTCAATAAGACAATACATCATCAGTTTCCAATTTAAAATCATTACATCCACAATTTAGATTTTTCCACTGAAATTCACTGAAGTTTCCAAGAATCATAACTGGAGATTGCATCAAGATGTTGTGACATCACAGATACAAGCTGGCAGCGAACACAATGTCCCTCTTGATGACTTTAATTGCCTCGCTGAACTTGTTCTCCAAATCCGTGTTGCCAATGTTCTTTGCAGCTTGACAGAGCTGCCGCAGAACCTCCTCGAGTCTTCGCATACATCGGATGATGCTCCCTGAACACACAACAATCTCTTTGGGATGCCAGTAATAAGCACAGAAAATTAACAGTCCTCCAATGATGAGAAGGCCAGACAAGTGTTTGGCAGAACATAGTTACTCTGCCCAACTGTTCATTTAGAGACGACTTCCATGTGCTGTCAGCAATGGAACAGTTCTTTCATGCCTTAACACCATACAAATTTAAGTTCTGATAACAGCTTCACCTCCTCTTCACTGGTGGACAACATGCAACAATGTAAAAGTATGTAAGATTTGAGGCTTTCACGGCAGTGACTATGAAGACTGCTTTCTTCAATGTAAAAGTACACTACCAGTAAAACACAGAATCCCAGAAGATAGTACTCAAAAAATTTGACTATTACAAGTGAAAATGTTAAATGTAGCCTTATAAACCACTGTCATTACCTTCAAAGATGCTTGTCATTTTGCACAGCTGGAGGAAGGAGGCACCCTTGCACCAAGCATGCACAACATCCATCAGAAATGGTTTGAACTGATCTACATAGACATCCTCAACGATGTCCAGCTTTGCTTCCACACTCACTCGAGCTATCCTCCTTGCCAAATCCTGTGTGAATACCATGCCACAAACACCATTAATGTCAGCTAATTATAGTATAAATATCCTATACAAACTGATGGACTGCAAACTTGTTCACTTTCATATTATGCTGAAATCTATATTTTCCTGGTGCCACACACGTCTACTAACCTGCATTTGTCGAAGCGGGCCAGACAATTCCTCACCCATCTTTGGCATTTCGTTACTCTTTTCGTCACACACAAAACAACTGATTAGCGCCACACACTGGGGTACAGTCAGGTTATTGAACATCCCGTTGAATATCATTTCCGTCATCAGCAATTCATCGGCACTACACAAACCAAGGACAAAAGCACTAACTGTTGAGAAGGCGTGTTTTAATGTTCCGAAGGATCACACTCTACATATTTCAATGCAACCAGCAACATCAGAAGTGGTTGGTTGGTTTTTACTGCCTCTATGTATGGTCTATTTGAACCTCCTGGTATCTGCCCATCTAGACAAAGGCGAATCAATTTTTGAGGTGGGGGAATGCAGAGGGCAGATCCTCTCTTAGATTATTCCCAGTAATCACGATTATGAGAACGATGGTTAGCAGAGGAGCCTATGTTTAAAGTGCACTCCAAACTAAGTGATGGGCCTGGTTTAAGTTTTATCTATGGTAGAAGTGAAGGCTTCAGTTTGTGAGCTGGTGGGGGGAATCTGTATACAGATCAGGCAGAAGATCAAACTCCAAACCCTCTAAATGAGAGTCCAGTGTAATACACTGAGCCTGCCTGGTCCCCTGGGATGCTACAGGGTCCTCTGGTATTTATCCACCACCCTACAGTGTCACATGTGGGAACATGGCTGCGATCTTAAATTTCTTCAAGGGTACCATCTTCCACGATGTGACGTTATATAGCCTAGTAAACATTTACCGATGTTTCTAAGGAACGTACTGTCTCTATCCTCAGGACAGAAGAATAAGCAAAGCAAGCAACAAGCAATGTGAGGTACATTCTTCTGAAATGACTATAAATTTCCACCATACAACACAGCATCACATCTCAGAAGATGGTGCTCTTGTATTATGAATTTAGTTAGTTAGTTAACGAACTATACCCGCTCAGCTCACAAGCAACTCGACCCTTGATCTCAATGACATCAGAAGCTGTACAGTAGCCCAGTCTCCTGAGAACCCTCTTCAGACTTTTGAGTTGATCCATCTGCAATAAAGACTTGGCCTTCTTTAATTCTTGTTTCGTTACTTTCAACTCTTGTGAGATCTAGAAAGAGAACAAGAGAGACAGATAGAGAACTCAAAATATGTAATCAGAAAGAACACCAGTTCTTGTGAAACATCACATTAACACAGTGTATCTTTCCATTCATTGAAATCAAAAACTCATCTAAATAACAATAACTCAGTTAACCAAAGCATTACACAGAGGTAGGTTGTCAGCTCCACACACTGGCTGCCTTACCCTCATGGATGGAATGCCTCATGCCTGTTAGTTGGAGGGTACGTGGGCCTTAAAGTTGGTAAGGTAAAAGGTAAAGTGTCCCTAGGTTTAATTAATTAAGCACTATGTCGTGAAGCTGGACAGGGAATAGACGTACACATCTTCACCATTCCTGACCTCAGTACTAGGTGTACATGAGTTATCAGGTACACAACCAGGCTGCTTTACCACCAGGAAAAGAGCCCATGCTATCCATTGGATAGGAGGTTGAGTGGGCCCCAGAGCCAGTCTGGGCACTACAGAGAGGAGAAAAGTCTTGCCTTTAGCAGGGTTCGAACCCTAACCATCTAGCCCATAGCCAGTTGATATACCAAGTTATTTAAACTGTTTTGCTTGTTCAAACCCCCCAAAAAAAATGGAGTGGTGAAGAGAAAAATTTCTTCTCCTGCCACAGATGAAACGCCAATCATCCAGCCCATAGCATTATCCTTATCCTGACTGAGATTTCGAGGCTCAGGGATGAGTGTAAGATTATGTAACATCATTCTCTGAATCTTGCAGCAGATGACAACTGGTGACAACTTGGGGAGGCATGAAGGAAGGAACAGAGAGGTATTGAGAATAATGAAAAAAGGAAAACAGGAATAAAAAAGAAGGAAGGAATGACAGATGAAAGAGTGGGAGGAAGACAGGAAAGAGAAACAAGCTAAGCTAAGTTAAACTTACCTCCAGTTTCTTCGAGTACAGATTATAAAGCGTGTCCAAGTCTGGATCCTTGTGCAAGGGATGGGCATACAGTCGCTCCTCATATGACTCTATGCGCTTCACAATGTCCTGGAAGACTGGGTCCTTGATGTTCATGTCTGTTACCGGATTCAGCAGTGGAATTCCATTTGGGAATCGTTTCTTCACTTCCTATAATAGACACAACACTTCATTTGATGCTTTGGATGCGCATATGCACGCTCCAAGCTCCTGAAGCTGTGATCATCCTATTGGTCTACAACTTCAAAACAAGAAGAGAAAATCCTGATAAGAACACTCTGACATCACAGTTTTAATGTACGAGTTTATCACACAAAAGAGGTTGCATAATTCAACATTACTTACTTTATGAGTGTTCAATTCTGAGCCACACTTTGTGCACATTTTATCTATGAAACAACTGAATGGATTTTAACAAAATTTGGTCTCTTTGTGGGTTATTATAACAGCAGCTAGACTACATAACACTGAACAGTAGGATGACTGGGAAAGGATTTGGAAGGAGACAGTCATGGCCTAATTGAGGTGTCATCTCAGAATTTGCCTGTGGGATCTACGGAAATCTGATTTTTCAATCACAACAGTCAGTGTCCTGGCTGTGAAGCACTGGATGGCAGGCGGCATCAAGACATGTATGACATGCTGTAATTCATACAGCTTCAATATCTCTCAAGAGACAGCAGCCTTAAGATTCTGCAGACAGCACAGCAGTGTATATGGATGTCAGGAATTAGCTTGACAGGTAATTATGGAGCGAGAATCCAGTACTTTTAATGTCTGAATGGTTCATACACCAAGAAACTTTGAGGATCATGGTGTAAAGACATCTGCTGAGATTCAAACCTTTCACTTACTTTGATAATGGTTTAGTACTGTCGTTCTCACTTCATGATAAAACACGTGAATACTATCAAAAAGCAGAGTAACTCACTGCTATAGTTTTGAGGACTGACTTGCGACTATCTGGTGGCCTTAGATCTTTCGGATAATACACTCTGAGTGAGCTGAGATGGGTGATGAGTGTGTTTAACACTGGTACCACCTCCAAGTCACCCTCCACCCCAACAGGACATGGACGTGGCTGTTCAGTGCAGCTTCCAGGGGATATATGAAGCAAAATGTCCACTACGATGCTGGGAGATTCATTTAACGGGTTCTCTTTCCTTTTATTTCCCATGTTTTCCGTTTGCTTTTTGAAATTAATTATGATGCCCCAGTCATATTCATCCTCTTCATGCTTTACCTGCACAAATGTAAAACAAAAGAATTCATATTATCTACATAAATACATGAATGTCTCTTTTCTCTTTGGGTATGAAACTTGATGCAGAACATTAAAAGAAGAACAAAGCTTGCAGATGTATGAAATTAAGGCGCTTAGATGAATGTTTAGACCTGAGAGCAGATAAAATTACATGAGGAGCTATATAATTTGTACTCTTCACCCAGTATCACTAAAATCATGGTGGTGATATGGGCAGAGGAGGAAAAGAATATAACCAGTGACCTTACACCAATACCCAAGTCCTAACCACAACATGTAAAGAAACATACGCATTACCTTACCTTCACCAGCCTCCCAGGCTGCAGGAAGGGCACAATGTATTGTGGCTTGGTGAGGTAAGACTGGAACTGTTTGCTAAGTACTTTCAGTTCTTCTCTGATATGGTAGTATGTTGCAACCTGGTTCTCTCGTGAAACATGCAACTGGTCCAATGCATTCTGGGCAGATCTCACCTCTACCAAACACAAGAAGAAATAAAACTGAACTCAGATAAGAGACAGAACAGGTCAGAAAGATATATATGGCTCAAAAGCTATGATTTTTACTCATACATAACTCATGACCTATATTATTCAAAATAACTGCTCACAATCAAAAGATTCACAAGTGACACGTATTCTACACAGAGTGAAATTCTAAATTAATTTAAACCCCATACTTAATGAATATTTTTTGTGGCCCAAGCTAAACCCAAACATGAGCAATGCACAGGTGACTTGTCACAGAGGAGTTACGTACCTCAAGATTTGTCTACATCAGAAACAGGTAAAGTTTATATGCAAACACTGAGCACAGAGGAAACAGAGTCATAAAACGTGGGGTGACTTGGGGAAATTGAAAACACAGCTCCCTAGGCATGCATTACAGCATCTAATGTGGTCATGGATGCTTCCAGTGACACTGAAACAAAACCTCAGATATGCAACAAAAAGGAGGCAACAAGAAGCACCTGCAATATTTTCCCTTATTTAATGAATTCTGAATTAGTGAACAACCCATATTTATGAAGAAAGTCGTCTTCTGGGTTTAGGCGCCGTGTATTCTTCATTTTGGCCGACGTTTCGGAGGAACGTAGCTGTAGTTACTGCTCTCTGCATTCCAAGCCATTCACCTGCTCTGAAGATGGAGGCGATACGTTCCTCCGAAACGTCGGCCAAAATGAAGAATACACGGCGCCTAAACCCAGAAGATGACTTTCTTCATAGTCATCGCCGTGAAAACCTCAAAACTTACATAACCCATATTTATGTACGAACATTCTGATTTTCTGAAAAAGTACTTAGATTTGGTGTGACTGTAGTTGAAATAAGAATCATTTTCTCTTTGCTAGAGACCGTTACCACATAACCATCTTCTTTACATAATTACATTTGCTGTGCAGAAACAGTTTCCTTACTTACTTAGATCTATGGTAAGAAATTCTTTTGTCGTAATTCGGTATAGTAAAGTCTTAAAAAGAAAGTTAGCCATTTCTTGAGAGCCATACAATTCTCACACACATAAAGGTAAAGGTAAAGCTGAGCCTGTGCTTAACTAATTAAGCACTACACCATAAGGGAGTATGGGGGAGATGATGTATAGAGCCACATTTTCTTTACATTGGCACTAGTCTGAGGTGAGTGGTCAGCTTCACATCACGGCTGCCTTACCCGCAGGGGAAAGAGTCCCCAGTACCCATTGGATAGGAGGCTGGATGGGCCGAGAGCCAGTCAAGACATTTTCTCACTCACACACACTATTGTTAATTCAAGTAACTCAGACATACAACTGTAGCTCACATAACTCACATCCCACACACTTACATACACAACTCATAACCTGCACAGTACTCACTCTCATACAGTTCTGGAATGGCCGCATGATTTTGGAACTGGAAAAAACTTCGTTCCAACATGTATTCAGGGTTAATTTCTTCAACTCGGAGAAGGTTCAGGACCATGTTGTAAGTCAGGTGGAAAGCAGAGTTGATGGGGTCAGCCTGGCCCTGTATGATGTTGCGACCCACTACAGGACTCACTTTTTCATCTATCATTAAGATGACAATACCCTTCTCATCTAGCCCACGGCGACCCGCTCGACCTGACATCTGGATGTACTCGCCTGAAGTTACCTATAAGATATTATACTGCAAACATCTCATTACAAATATCAGTAGTCATTTCCTGCATATGTTGCAACAAAATTCATAAGTTTTTTTTGAGAGCCTTGTACTTGAAATCAGAATAAAGGGTTACATATCCCAACCTTCAGTTAAATACGTTGCAAAATGACTGCTGATATCTACTTAGAAACTACTGTGAGAGCCTGAGAAGAAATGACAATTCACACAAGTTCACCAGCCCAGAAAGAAATCTAATTTCACTGGTAAGGAACATATGCTTACAGTAACATGAACCTTTTGCATCTCTACAGTTTTGTGATTTAGAACATCGAGAACCGGCTACCAGAACAGTCACTTCTCACTCCCTGATCCTAAAATCATTCTAAAAAAATTATAACTCCCAAACTAATCTACAATCCAGAGTGAATGAAAGACAGGTGTACAAAGAAATGCCCACAGATCAGTATTGCTTCTATTGACATTATTTACACCTTCACCTAAGCGGCCTCCGTAGTCTAGAAGTAACGTTCCCACCTCATGACTCGTAGTACGCGGGTCCAAATACCCGGCGGAGGTCGTCGAATTTTTAAGGGCAGAAAAATTCAGGGAACAAGTCCTCCAGGAGGGACTTTAAGCCGTGGGTCCCGTGTCATAGCTTTACGGCATGTAAAAGAACCTCTTATCTCCAAAGGAGGTCATTGAGCCAAATTACGGACGTTTCCTGCCCAACAGCAGTCTCTAATCCCGCTGGTAGATGGGGGAAGCATTATAGATACCTCTCAGCTAGTAGAGCCGGTCTCGCTGGCTGGGCGGGACTGATGGTAAGCACCAGTACCGGTAGGATATAGAGACTGGTAGAATTACATAGAGGGAAGCACAATGGACCAACACAGGTCTAAGTGCATGGGGAAACCCATCGTCTCCGATAACTAACTAACTACACCTTCACCTCAACCAAATCCTGACCCAGATGGGAATCATTTCCAAATAAATCTTCAACAATTTCTTGACACATACCTATTATATGTTGTTTTGAGCTTACATTCATGAGATCTGTATCCAACTGCATTTAGATAATTCTGCTCTTAGAGATTACTGACGTATTGATGGCATCTATTTACAAAATTAAAGAAACTCATAATTAAGATTGTGCGCATAACTGATCCTTAGGCTGAATACTGATGTAACACGCACCCATCTTGATNTGGCATCTATTTACAAAATTAAAGAAACTCATAATTAAGATTGTGCCCATAACTGCTGATGTAACACGCACCCATCTTGACTCCTTCCCATCAAATTTGCGAGCGCTTGTGAACAGAACTGTTCGGGCAGGCATATTAAGGCCCATGGCAAAAGTCTCTGTTGCAAACAAGGCTTTGATCAAGCCTTCTGCGAACAAAATCTCAATTGTCTCCTTCAAAATTGGAAGCAAGCCTGTAACAGCCAAAACAATCATAATGAGATATAGATACTGCACTGATTTTGACTCTGGGTTCTCACAGGAATGACTATGAAGACTATGGTCTCACAGGTTGCAACACTGTGTAGCTCAGAGAATTAGAATGATCAGGTCAAGGAGGATGAGGTGGGCAGGGCATGCAGCATGAATGGGGAAGAAAATGAATGCATATAGGATATTGGTGGGAAAGCCAGAAGGAAAGAGACTACTGGGAAGACCAAGGCATAAGTGGGTGGACAATATTAAAATGGATCTTAGAGAGATAGAATGGGATGGTATGGATTGGGTTGATCTGGCTAAGGATAGGGACCACTGGAGGGCCCCTGTGAACACAGTAATGAACCTTCGGGTTCCGTAAAATGCTGCGAAGTCCTTGAGAAGCTGCACAGCGGGTGGCTTCTCCAGATGGGCTCAGCTCCATGAGTGAATGAGTAAGTAAGTAAGTAAGTAGCTCAGAGAAAGCCCAGCTACAAGATGTCACAATGTAGAACACCCTACACTTCAAATACTGCAATGAATTTCATGCTGAACTTTGAGTACTATTATTCTAAATCACCATAGCATGGAAATGGTTGCAGTGATGGAAATCATTATAGACATGTGACAGATGACCCTGCTCTTCAGTTATTTAACCCTTCCAGATCACCTGTCAGGCTCAGCCAAACATCTGTAGAAATCATTTCAGTCCAATTTTGGACTGAATCCAACCACCCCAGAAATCCCCCCCCCAAAAAAGCCCTGATGACTCCAGGGTTGATATGACATATCTATGTGACTGTCTCATTTATGAGAACATTTGAAAATTAAACTGTGATTAAAGTAAAGCTTTTGTCTTCTAAAACTGCAGTAACTAAGTCTGACTTGTATTGATCAAATAAATGATTGTAAATCTTTTGCTGAAATAGCCAGCCACTCAAGAAAGGGATTCAGAGTATCAGGGAAGAAATTAACAATGCGGTATCAACAGCAGAAGTTTTATAGCATCCAAGTTCACAGAAACTGACTTTAAAAAAAAAAAATGCTTTCAATCAAATCAGTCGTTCTATCACATATTCCTGACATCAACTGTGATTTCTTCTCTTGTAAGTTCTGAAAGATTACCTCTACTCACGCATGTGCACATCATAAAGCACATCAGATGACATCACAAAAAAGAGCACACAGCCACACTAAAATAAATATATAAGTACAATACAGTCAATTCAAAATACAACAAAGCCTCTATTTAAGGTATCTTTGGGGACAAGTGGATTTGAACATTAAACTGAAGAAAATCTTACATGGGAGATAATTTAACACTTAAAGAGTATTGGTGTGAGCAGCCGGGATAGCGCAGTCAGTGTAGCGACTGGCTACGGGTCGGAGTTTGAGTCCCGCTAGTTCCAAGAATTTTCTCTTCTCCACATTGTCAAGACCAGCTCTGGGGTCCACCCAACATCCTACCAATTGGGTATCAGGCGCTCTTACTCCGGGAGTAAAGCGGCTGGCATGTGAAGCTGACCACTCACCTCCAGCTAGTGTCAAAGTCAAGATAATGTGGATCTATACACCCACTCCCCCATATGCCTTCATGGCATAGTACTTATTTAGAAAAGCGCAGGTAAAACTTCTATTTTTATTATTATTATTATTATTATTATTATNCATTAACTGGGGGGGGGGTTACTTTAGAGTATCTCTGATGCAGCAACAACTACTGAGTACAAGTGACATGAGACAAGAACAGGTCACCATGCCTAATTCAGTTTACCTCCATGATGAATGCCAATGCCTCTCCTAAGCAAGGGCAGAACATTCTCCACTTGTGGCAGCTGACGATCCTCCTCAGACAAAATGTCCATTGCATTGTGGAACACTTCATCTACCAACCGCTTCTCTTCCACTGAAATGAAAATATAGCAGAAGACTGAAAGTTAATGCAATAGCTACAGTGAGTTTCCTAGACTATGTTAAAAAAAGTCTCTGGTTGTGAGCCTCAAGGGGCTTGGTACCTAGATGAACTGATTGGTGGTAAATTGCCAGTTGTAAATTAACTTTGACTTTGAAAGAGAACTGAGGGAGTTTCTCCATACAACAGTCGAAGATGACTAAGAAGAGAAGACTTTATGTGTGTTGTGGTACAGTGATATTTGGAGTGTGTGGCTCGGGGAGACCGTTATAAATCCATTGCCAGGAAACAGCTAGTGAAGACTCTAATAGACTGAGGACACTAGTGGGTGTAACAGTGAACTGTAAAGTGTGAAGATTAACAGTAGCACTACACTAGTTACAAGCTGTGTGTATAAGTGTTCAGTATATTCAATCATCCAATCCAAACCCCATCTAACAGTCACACCTACATGTAACAATACTTTTGGAAATCTGGTAGCCAAACAAATATTTTGAGTCCTAAAAAAGACAGATGATGATTTTTGATGCGTTGCTGTGGTTCTTGTCTTTGATTCATTTACTTCTGTCTGTCAGTCCTAAACACTTGCAGGATAGGCACAAAATAACAGGGAGATATCAAATTAAAAAAGAGATAATTATTATGACTTAAAAATTATGTTCACCTTAATATTTTTGGATGCAATTCACCGTTTTCACTGTGCCACAAGTGAATGGGTGACACTGTCACAGCACCAAAAGTAAACCACTGAATAACAAATGGCAAATTTGTTGCCAGCCAAGGGTGCCAAAAGAGTGGACAAACTAGGCATCCGTCCCCTCCCCCTGGATTTTTTAAAAAATCAAAACTGAAGAAACAAATAAAATTTACTAAATATTAATAACAACTCAAAGATTTTGCAATTAGTAAAAATGGCATAAGTGAAAGTCTGTAAACAATTTTCAGGCTTCTCTCCCTTGGAAACCTTGCTCCCACCTGGTGGCATCCATGTTGTCAAACACAATTTTTGGGTCACCACAAGTAACCTAGTGCCCATATCTTTTGACCTCTGTTCATAACACAGAAGACTACAATATGAATATTCACTACTGTGAAAAATTCAAAATCTTATACAGGCTTGGTCTGCTTTCTCCCTCTCTTTATGGGCAAGTGAGAAATGCTAACATTAACAATGAACTAACCCCCACAGTGCAGGGTCTTTCTTGAAAAACTGACAGTTATTCAGGTGGCCAAAAAAATCTGTGATTTTAAAAAACTTGAGCTGAAGTACCTGCTCTTCTTCTAGGACATGGTTCTTTCTTTTGTCAATACCATAATGCACACAATGTTCTGGCAGGAAGAATCAATATTCTGGGAGGTCACAGTATCAGTCATTCTAAGCAAAAAAAGTGTGTGTACATGTGTCCTATTCTGAACGGCTTGTCAGTACACTGTATACTGTACTGACAAGCAACATGCCATGTCCTCACACGAGTTGCAAAGTGCACTGATGTTGACGGTGTAATTTTCGAAAATACATTATACTAGATAAACTGTACCAACTTTGTCACTTGAACAATAAATACCGGTATTAGAAACAGAATGTAATATCTCTTTCTTATCAACAGTTTTGGAATTGTACAGTGAAATAGCTGTATCGGACACAAGTAGATGTACATCTTTTTGCTTAGAATGACCGATACTATGATCACCCAGAATACTGACCTTCCCTTCTGGGACACCCTATATATATCACAGCAGTACCACAGCAGCTAAAACGTTAAAGTAGGATTAACATTAAAATTAAGAAATTATAATTTATATAATTAATTACTCTGCAGAAGGAAATAAAGGACAGGAATGTTATATTATATGAAAGCTGTCCCTGTGTTGAATTAAGCACCACATTATGAAGATGTATGGGGGAGTGGAGGAAAAATAAACTGCACAAACCTGTATTGAAATCAAGTTTTGCCATCTGCATAGCATAAATTTCGCACTCCTTTTTGCTAAAACTGAAGATGATGACAGGAGCAAACTGTCGTTCCATTATCATTTTCACAATTTTGAAGATGTTTGTATCGCCACCTCCCTGATTTCCTCCTCGTCGACCCCTCTGATCACCTTTAGCAGCACCACCGGCATTCTGGAGCACTGCCATGGCTGTGTTGAAGTTCTCTTCTTTAAATTGGCCCTGACAAACAGATATCTGGTGTTGGATTTGAGGTTCTCATAGCAGGGACTATGGAGACGTGACACCGTCAAACTTGGTAGAAGCCCTCCAAAATGTCAGCAAACTTCTGTCAGACTACTGACTGTCAAATCCCAGAAAACAGAAGATCTCTAGCGAACTGCAGGAGAATCAATGGCAACAAGCAATGAACTACAAAGTATGACAACCTTTTCCAGAAGACTTCCTTCACGCAGAGATGCAGACACGCATCAAAGCACACCCCAACACCTCTATCATGCAGCACACATTAAAGAAACTGTAACAAATTAACAGCCAATGGATCCAGCTTGCACACTGAAAACAAAGCAGCAGCACCAACTGTCATCATCTTCTTCATGCCTTGTGCCTCTCACACAGTATTTTTAAAGTAAAGTAAATTTTCCATGTGCTTAACTAAGCATCATGTCATGCAGAAGTAAGGGAGGATGGAGGCATAGATCCAAGCCTTCTCAAACTTGACCCTTGATGTAGGTGAGTAATTAACATCATAACTCCAGGAAAGTGATGCCTGTACCCAGTTCTCTCATGCTGTCTTTATTCTTCCTCGTCACCGTCGTCATTGGCTTGACAGTCCTGTGTGGACTGGGGACTTCTTTAGAAGCTTCAGTCAGTCTTCTCTACTCATAGTCACATTCCCTCATTCCCTCATTCCCAGGGCCACACCATCCTCCCATCTCACTTTGGGCCTTCCAATATGCCTCATACCTCCAGGTCCCGTATCAAACACCTTCCTGATGGTCCTACCATTTCCCATAATAAGTCCCATGCAGAAATCTTAGGTAGTTAAATAAAGGTCTAAATATGTGAAACACACTGCTTACATGGTGGAAACAAGAAGTTTACGCAAAAACTTATGAAACAGGCTATGAGAAAGGTTCTGATCCACAAAAAGATGTTAGTATGAGTGGTTTAGTTAGCCACCACTTATATACATGTAAACTGTTCCTAAAGTATCTTTGAGGTTGCATTAGCAAGACACTAAATGTCTCACCAGCAACTCAATCATGTCTTTCAATACACATTGGGAACACAGAGGACTTTCCTTCTGTAAGGTTGCCAACCAAAGTTATGACATATGACATACCCTCATAGATGTTTCACTCAGATAAGACCTGTCACCCTGCCAACACTCACATTTTCATCGACAACGAGATGTATGCCCTCTCCACCAGCTGGGAAAAGGTAATGTTGAAGCGGTACAGGTCGATAGTCTGTGTAGACAACGTGACACGGCTGGTGATGAAGGTGCGCCACCCACTCAGCGAACTGGCGTGCATTCGGGATCGTGGCTGACAGGAACACATAATGCACGTTGTCTGGCAACAGTATAAGTGTCTCCTCCCATACAACACCTCGCTCTTTGTCTCGCATGTAGTGGATCTCATCAAACACAACCCAGCCCACCTCGCGCATTACTTCAGATCCTCGGTACAACATGTTTCTTAAAATCTATGAAATCAATACAACAGAATTAATTTTAAACATTTTTTACACCAGATCTGTTGGAAATGTGGCACAGTTACAATATTTGGGAATGACAGTAACAAATACAAATTTATTTCAGGAGGAAATTAAGAGGAGACTGAATTCGGGTAATACTTGCTACCATTCAGACCAAAACCTTCTGTCTTCTCATCTGCTGTCTGAATGTACACAGAGGGAGAAAGGAGATTAAAGAGAACAAAGAGCAGGGAGAATGGGAAGGTGTAAAGGATGATGAGATGATGAAGTGATATGAAAAGATAATAACCCATGCCTGAAAGCGTTAACTGCAGGAAAACATGTTAGTCTTGCTACTAGATATGAGAACTTCTTTGAATAAAATGAATATGGCACACTTTAAGAGGAGAGAATTAGTAACATGTATTATGTACTGGTTAAAACACAATAGAAAAAGTATGAGGGAGTCAGTAAATAGGTCACAAATTGATAAAAAGAATAAAACGTGATATTCCAGGCTGGAAAAAACATTTATTTCTTGACATATCCTCCAACACTTGTCCCATCACTATACCAGTATGTCAAAACCCACAGTACAGATGTCTTTTGACTGTTGTTTCAGCCACAGTCTCAACAGAGTGACCTGGTTGGGCATCATCTTTGACTTTTGAACATCCTAGAGAGAATTTCTCGACCCAGTTGTGTACTACTTTACATGACAAACACTTCCCACCATAAACAGGATGAATTTCTTTATGAATATACTTTGCATTGAGTCCTTTCGCCCACAAAACACACACAACAGAACGCTGCTCATTGGTAGTATTCTCTTTGAGCATGATCGCCATTTTGACTACTGAAACCAGCCTCTGAACATGCGGATGCACATCTGCTACCTAGACTGTAATGAAGCTGGACTGCACTGCTACCTAGTGATACAAATATAAAACCTATTACCTCCATTTCAGCTGTTTTACTTCCATTTGTGACCTATTTTCTGACTCTCTCTCGTACAAGAATAGAAATCATATCAAAATGTAATGAACTGAGATGGCGAAAGAGAGTTAGAATACAAAAGCAAAACATTCATATCAGTAAGTGGAATAATTTGCTCTTTCACAAGCAATGAGGAGAATATATCTGGAGTTATGCAAGAGTGATTAAAACACAAATTATGGAAAACATTTTGCAGTACATGACACCATGTTGTTATATGCCAAAGAGAGCCACAACATGGTGCACACTGTGCGCTTGCTCCTTACAGTCTGCTCTGCAACTCATCACAGAAGACAAGAAGTGAAGAAATGAGACAAATTTGGAAGTCTGAGCTAGTAGTGTCCTGGGAATTCAAACCTGAACTAACAAAATACAAGACAGACAAACCCAAGCCCATTTCATTCTTACCTCAGTTGTCATGATAAGGCAGGATGCTGTGGGATTGATCGTGACATCACCAGTGATGAGTCCAACATCTTTGAACTCTTCATAGAATTCCCGATACTTCTGGTTACTAAGAGCCTTGATCGGGGTTGTATAAATGACTCGCTGCTTGTTGTGAAATGATGTTGCAATACTGTACCTGAAAGTTACATCAAGCAGTTGGTACCTGGCCCCACAGTAAAACATTTCTTTGTCATTTTGTAACCATTTAAAAAAAAAAGTTTTGTGACATGAACACATTATGGGAAGTAACATCTATCTACTTGTATCTCTAGAATTACTCAGTAAGCACTGATTAAATATGGTACATGATATCTACACTAAAAGTTCATGGGTGGATTTAACTTCAGTTCATACTGGTTCAATACAGTTACCGCTTTACACAAAGTTCAAATGAAACAACATTTCACAGAGATATTTCATCTTACAAATAAATCATACAAAATACAGAAGCACCCAACATTTGTAATTATAACATTTCTGGAATAATATTTATATTAAGATACAAAACTTGACAGAAGAAGAATATGCACTAGGTGTGCTGTTATCTATTGAGGCCAGGGCATAAAGCTGATCACCCACCTCCATGTAGTGCCAAGGTCAAGAATGGTGGAACTATACACCATTACCCCATACGTCTTCATGACACTGTTCTTAATTAATTAAGCACAGAGACAACTTGACCTTTATCTTATGTATATGTATGGTGTTCACTGTACTTCACTACCAAAATTCTCACAAATCCACCCCCTGCTCAGAGATCATTCCTATTAAAAAAGCAATTATGCGCACAATGGTCGACAGTCTTCTTGGAGAAGTTTCACTGTATAATCTCCGAAGCAAAGTTAAAAAACGAACTTACTCTGCAACAACCGTCTTCCCTGCAGAAGTATGAGCAGATACAAGTACTGACTGGTTGTTCTCAATGCACAAGATGGCCTCTTTCTGGAATGGATCTAAAATGAACTTGTATTCCTTGGCAGGCTTGCCAGTTATCTGTTTTAAGGGGACATATTCCATCTCAGGGGGCACAGCAACTTCATGTGTGCAGGCTTCCAGCGTTTCCACTGTATGAACCTTGATTCGTGGCAAGATTTCATTAATGCTGCAGAACAAGAGGGAAAAGAAAGCATTATTATTCAGTGACTTCATGCCATGTGATCACCTTAGAGACTCCTCCTAATCGCTAATTAAGCCATAGCTGCTTCCTTTCCCGTTTTTTCCAATTCAGTATTCACTATCTAGCGTAGCTGGTTGAGGTACTATGCTACAAGCCGGAAGGTCACGGGATCGAAACCTGATAAGGTGGATTTCTTCAGTTTACCTAATCCTTCCAGCCACACTATGGGCCTGGGGTCAACTCAGCCTCTAAAAGAAATGAGTACCAGGAATATTCCTGGGGGTAAATGACAGCTGACACGTTAGACTCACATCACCGCCATCTGTGAGCTGATTCTCTAGAATATGTGGGAGCCTCAACATCTCACAACCCTATGGGCCTCCACGGCCTGTTACAGGAATACCTTTACTTTTTTATTAATCATTAGATGCTATAAGGTCAGAGTTATGTTAGCATCGTGAAATAGTTTACAAACGAGCCACAGAAGCCAGTAATCTTCATAGTCAACATCATGACAACCTCAAATTTCACGAAATACAATAATTTTAAAGAGTTCTGTCTTCTGGGATACAATGCTGTGTATCCCGTTATATCCCAGAAGACAGAACTTTTCACCACTGCTGTGAGAACCTCAAATCATATGCAGCAATTTTAGATTTTTAAGAGAAGAGGAACAAATATAGGATTTGGTGGGAATGCCAGAAGAGATCACTAGGAAGACCTAGATGTAGGTGGGAGGAAAATATTAAGATGGATCTTACAGAAATAGGATGGGGTGGTATGGACTGCATGGATCTGGCTCAGGATAGGGGCAAATGGATGGCTCTGTTAACATGGTAATGAACACTTGGATTCCATAATATACTCCAAAATTTTTGAGTAGCTGGGCAAACAGTGGCCTCTCAAACATGAGTCAGCTCTATAGTTTGAGTTAGTTAGTTAGGGGAACTGAAAGTATTTAAACATAGGTGAGTATAGTACGAATCCTTCTGCTGCAAAGCTTAGTGTCAGCACCAGGAGAAACAATGAAATTCTAGAAAGTGTCTTGCTCCCAGCCAGCGTTCATTGCCACCTCAGAATGGAAGGAGATGCTATTTCTGCAAGACTTGTTACACAGATGAGTGAAGTGTTACTCACTTTATGTCATCCAAAATGGACTCTGTCTTTGCCTTCTTTCCAGCCTCTTCCTCATCATCATCATCATCATCCTCGTAATCACGTTTTGTAGCAGCACTGCTATCACGTGGTCCAATTTTGTTATCAAGTGAAGCAGAAACACTAAAAGAATATTAATACATTTATAAACTGTCACCTATAATTTTAAATTGTAGGAGATTAATGTGTAAACTATGGGGATGTAGAAATACCCTTGCTGACTCTCCATAAATATTCATAACACAAATAATGTTCTTGAATAAAATCAATTAGTCTGGGAGGGGGGAAATCCTCAAAACCTGAACTGGAATTACAGACTAGTTCTTCTGAACCCTACTAATAAGAAATAACAGAAAATTTCCCAATAAAAAAAAATTAAGGGTTAAATATGTTATACAGCATTGCCTTATTTCTTAATGGTTTCACCTCCACCTTCAATTACTTTTAAGTTAATAATTCCACTTCATCCCTTGGACCACAAGGGCTGTACACCCATGAATAAACTGTGTAAAATCATAACAGAAATTAGAAAAAATCTATCTTTTCTGTCTTCTATGGTCAATTATTCATTTTCTCAGCTGGTCATTAAATTACAAAGTATCAGGACTATACAACTTTGATGATAGGATGATTAATTAATATGGAGCATGTGCTGGCATGAAAATTGGCGGGAAAAACCAAAGTACTTGGAGAAAACCTGCCTCAGTACCACTCTGTCCACCACAAATCCCATATGACCTGACCTGGGATAGAACCCGGGCCGCCACAATGGGAAACCAGCTTCAACTATTCATGTTTCACTGCATCCTTATTTCCTCTATTCCACAAAGTGTGGAGGTAAATTATTAGGAACTGAAGCGACGATGGTATTGTTGTGGTTCCCAAAAACACGTGTATCAAAAGACTTAAAAATAAGAAAATCAATTGAAAAACACCGAGGCTGGCAGAAACGACTGCAATTAAAATTAAAGATTATATATGCATATATTCGGAAAGACGGTCATTTACTAACCTGACAATATTCCAAGTAACATAACCTAAAAATGAATTTCAAAACCTTACTTCTCTCCTGGTTGAGGTACAGCTTCTTTTATGGGTAGTTTCTCTTCAACTGTTGCTACAGGCGCTGGATCTGTGGCACTTTCATCAAACACATTAAAAATATCATCACTGAAATCACACATTTTTACCTATATATGTAAGAAACCAACTTACACATCCCATCTACAGTAAATCAAAGTCTCACCACTCTCACCGCTGCCATATGCGGTAGGTGCGGTAGTGCGGTGCGGTAGTATGTTCAATCATCAATGGGGAAATGAACATTACCCTAGTAGTACGTTAATTTGAACACCAGGGAGGGATATGGTGTCTGTTCTATCGTGTACAGAACACAAGAGTTCCATCTTCTTGCCATGAATGAATCAATGTTATTCTTCAGCTGTTTAACGAAACGAATTGCAAAATGTCAATTAGAAAATAGAGCAACGAACTGGGAAAAAATAACATGATCGCCGATATTCGCTTTTATAGTGAAAGACCAAGCTTCGAAAATAATCATTAAACCTGCTAGCAAGTTGGATGCTTTTTATTCATGAGTGTACTTGGAAATGATTGTTGCTGTGTAAAAAACATCGAATTCCAGTGCCATATAAGAGGGATATTATTTAAGTTGTAAGAGTACGTGTACAATATGCATAGATTTCTGGATGATGACGACTCCGTAATTAACAGCGGAAATGACCTATGGTTGACGACTGTAGCAGGCAGCAGTGTTGAAGATGAACACCATCAGCAACGGACAGGAAGTATGTTTTAATTTTACGTGTACCGTAGAAGCAGATTTTTTGACCTGCTTAGTAACCATACACTTTGTCAAGGAACACATGTGCCATATAATTAATGAATATCAAAAGTATCTGCTGTTTCACCAAGTTAGCTATATGTAATTTAAACCGTATATAATGATTTTTTTCTTATGTTTCTGTCTTCCCCTAACCTATATAAAGATGTGAACATTAAATTGTATAACACTGTCAGGTTGTGAGCTCTGACCGTCATTCAAAGGAAATGACATACAGTGTGCATGCTTCATAATTTTTACTATTTGCCATATATACTTCAAAGGATGATGAGAGGTGCAGATCATATAGCACACATGGGAGAAAGAAGAAATTTGTACAAAGTTTTGGTCAGAAAACCTAATGGAAAGAGATTACATGGATAACCAAAGTGCAGATGGGAGGATAACATTAAAATGGATCTTAAAGAAACAACATTGGAGGATGTCAACAGGATTCATCTGGCACAGAACTTGGAGAAGTGGAAGGCACTTGTGAACTTGATAATGAACTAATTGAAGTTCTCCCAATAGTTACAACAACAATAGTAGTAGTAGTAGTAGTAGATGATGATGATGATGATGATAGTACCATAAGGTATTTTTTTCAGACAGTTTGGAACAGTGAGTTGAATATTTCAATTGGTGAGTATGACTTGGTATGATTTTTCAAACCATGAATATGTCCAAGAAAATCCTAGTCACTGAAATATATGATTGTCCAGTAAGGGCTACAAAATTCATGAATTGATTCCCCAATCTTATGTTCGAACTTCTGACACTTTATACAATGTTGCAGCTGGCTCCAGTCGACTGTCAGCAATATTTCTTATCATCAATGCTGCTCTTGGTGCTGGGCTCCTCAATTTTCCCCAGGCATTTGATCAAGCAGGAGGAATTGTGACAGCCATCACTGTCCAAGTGGTAAGCAAATATCATTGGCTGTAACAGATAGTTGTAGAATGAGCTATTTACTGCTTCACTGGTAGGTTTATCAAACATGATGAGTGTCAAAGAAATTTTCAATAAAATACAAAGGTAACAACTGATGTGGTAGCTGATTTCACGATCAGTTCTAAAGAGTTCTCACAGTGGTGTGTCACTGGACCAGACAGACCAACCAAGCAGGTGCCTCCACATGATTTCACCTGGGGATGGAAAGAGATGCAGTTTCCAAAATGTGTTCACCCAGAATATGAGACAATGGACCAAGTTAAGAAACTCTAATCTTTAGCATAGTTTCATGCTGCAGGACCTGTCTTGGAATATTCATAGTTGCTCCGCTGTCCAGAAAGTCCCTGTTTTAATGGAACCCGAACATTCATTATTCTATTCAGAACTGTCCTTCATTTGACCATGCTCTGAGCCAGTTGAATCTGCTCTGTACCATCATGTCACCCAAGTGGTCTCTTTCCTCATGATTTTCAAAATAACCATGCATACTAAACCCCCCCCCCCCCATATCATCCCTGACTAACCAACTTCTTGAGAAACTAATAGTTGCTCAGCTATTCAGCAAACACCCCACCATTTATAGAAGCCAGAAGTTTGATATTGTATTCACAAAAGCGCACAAAGGCCCTGTGTAACATTTCATAGCTTGCTGTCTGTTACGGTACGTCCTTTATTCCGATATCCAGTCACCAAGCTGGAGGACTACCGCTTACTATTTATCTGTAGCTGCAACCCACTTAACCTGGCCTTCTTGATTAAATAATTTTAATAATATTTTCAATTTATATTATTATTTTATTATTAATATATTATGAATGCCTGATGATGGTTATAAATGACTGAAGTATGTAACAAAAATAATATCTTAATAAACTAAGTTATTTTATCAACTATTAGAGCCTATTGGTTATTTATTTGAGATCTACGGACATAGTTACATAGTAGCGACATACACAACAGGATGCAAGACATATGAATGAATGTTGGTAGGTGCAGATTGCATTGACTGTTAACAGATCCTGCTGGCATGGATAATGTGCGCATTGCTGATCTTAGCCCACTGCTCAGACCAGACCAGTGCTCGAACATTACAGGATGTCCTGGAAGGAGTTTATGGTCGACCAGGACTCATCGCCTGCTCATCAGCTGTTGCGCTGTATTGTTTTGGCACTTGTGTCACATTCCTTATCATCATTGGAGATCAGTTTGACAGAGGTAATAGGATTTGCCTGCCTTCATATTATTCTCAATGTCACCCCAAATCACCTATGTGTCTAGGAGACAAGAAATGCAAACACAGAAACATGTGACCTCAACATAAGGTGTCTTTTCTGCCTCTGCCCCTATCCCCTCCATCTGAAATCCTCTGTGTGAAAGGAGTTGTGATGAAGAAATAGCCTTGCATGTCCTGTGTAACTTTGAGATATCAACATATGGAAACATAGTTCATGAAATCTAGTCTGAAACTTCATGCAAGACGTGTACTGCTGGATGGTTATTGTATTTTCTTGAATACCCCATGCACATTTTTCAGAAAAATTTGTGCCAAAAAGTGGGGTATGCTATTCATGTCGTATTTAACACTACGGCACATCCAAGATGGTAGCAGGTCACTCCTCTGTTAGCTTTCATACATGCACGCATCACACACTGCTAGTCACGGTGCAGTTCATCTCGGTTTATTCATGAGTCATTGTCAGTTTCACTGTGTGATTTTCAGTAAAAAAAAGAATGAGTACAGAGGATACGCAATTATGATCTTTCATGGTGAGTGGAAAAATTAAAGATAAATGATAGAGTATTCACAGGAACGTATTTCATTCGGATTGGTAGAAAAGAGTTTAAAAAAGTGTGGCATCTCAGATAGCCTTGATGGGTCGGAAGGCGATTTCATTCAGTACAGTGATGACAGCAGCAGGAGCCCTGCTGATGATAATGACAGTGACAAAAGCAGTGGAGAATAAAATGCTGTATTTACATACTCATTGTTTCCAATTAGCAAGTTTCACATGATGAAGTCGCAGTAGAGTAAAGATCACGTACCACAACAAACACTAAGGGTGGGGGCACAGCAAGGAAACTGGCAACTGTAATGCAACTGCAGTTTCCCAGAACTGTTATCAGCCAGAGTTGAACACATGTTACTGAATGGAGCAGCGCAAATTGAGGAAACTGTGTTGTTTTCATGTTGCACGATGCCAAGTCTCAAGAACTGCAAATTTGGCGGCACCGGGAATAACACAGAAATGCCGTGAAGTAATGTGTGTAATTTAATATGTATAGTAATGTTTGGTGTGTAGCTAATGATTACTGCTTGATTTTTGTTTTGTTTAAGTAGTCTCTTTATTTTTCTGTCCCAAAAATGTGGGTTTGTGGTTTATTCGAGGGCGTGAGGTATTTAATAAATATTAACCATGAAGCTGCACAATAGATTTATGATGGTCACAGTGCACAGGTTGTTGTGCCCACCCTTTTTAATGTATTTCATTCTTGTTCATGAAAGAATTACATCATCATCCTTAAAAAATCAGACTACAAAGTCAGCTGGTTTATTACTTAGCAAAGGCCATTGCCTGCATATCATGTGGACAGACAGACATGATGAAGTTTTCATTTAAAATGCACCAGAAATGGGTCTTATGCTTGTAGAGTCATAATGATACTGCACGAGGTTACAGTAACATGGTGCATCGACAGGGCGGTGCACCGGTTGCTGGTACTACTGATTCCATCAGTAGGTGGATTTGTGAACAGTAGTCTCTGTTGGATTTGAAGTTCCAACAGTGGTGACTGAAGAGTTCTGTGTTGTAACACTATGTAGTTCAGAGAGAGTCCAACATTATGGAGGATCACATCGTCTCCATCTTTAGAGTCAAAAAGTAAACCAAGCAACAAACCATCAGGCATAAGTAGCGATCTTGCCGCCTGCTTCTACTGGTTTCTTGGCCTGTTTTTTGACCAGAAGAAGAGAAGGAGCCAGTGGCAAGCTTTGTTACTGCTTCTGCTTTCTCTGAACTGCACAGATTCATAACTCAGAAAACCATACTTGTAACAGTCTGTCTGTTGTCTTCACTTTCATGAAGAATCTCTGTTTAAAAGAATTTCTGTATTTTGTATTTTTTCAAAATTGTATTGTGGGTACACGGAGTTCGTAGTATTTCGAATGGTATAAGCATCCGCATATTCGCAAATTGAATGTCTGGAGTCACGTTTTTGTTTTCTTTTTTCTTATTTTGAAGTTCTGTCATCACTGCATGGTTTGGATTTTTGCCACTATTGGTACATGAACCGCTACTTCACAATTGCATTGAGTTCTTCGGTATTCATACTTCCTTTTTGTTACTCCAAAAGGATTGACTTTCTCAAATATGTTAGGTGAGTACTTTCTCTTGTAATTAAGTAATTAATAATTCCATGCTGCCGAGTCCTTCGTGAGAATCTACCAGTCACTTATCTACTCAAGAATTTCCCAACATTTTATGAAACCTGAGTGTTCATTACTGAATTCACAAGAGCCACCACTGGTCCCTGTCCTAAGCCAAATGAATCAATTCTGTACTATCCAATCCTATCTCTTTTATGATCCTACGAGAAGCTAACGAGAAAGTTAGAGAAAAGTAGTGCATATTTTCATGCCTTCTCTGTAGTCTCATAATGTAAGAATTTATATTCACTTCACATTACACAGTATCAGAAAGCTCTGCAAAGGAACGGGATGTGTTAGCTGCTAGTCTTTGCAGATGATGATGATTTACTACTCAAAAAAAATATAATTGCCTTAAATGAAAACAGAGTAACTGTTAGAAGCCAGTAATGACAGCACAGAACAGGAATACGGTGGTGTAATCTTCTCAGGTTTTATGATTTCTTTAACCCTTTGACGCGGTAATTTAAATTCCGCGGCTGCGTCTCCTGCGGTAATATATTCAGCCGGCCATTTAAATTTTGCTCAAAAATGATTTATTCATCATTGTTCTTAAATTCTATGAGATAGGAACATGAAACTTTCACTAAAATGATCTTAAAAGGTGGTTTTATAACCTTACCTTATAATATGAGCGCCCTTTATATCTTCAATGGAAGCAGGTTTTTTAGTATTTGAGCAGTGAATGGTACGCCTTGAAGCATGAAACTTTCACTAAAATGATCTTAAAAGATGGTTTTTATAACCTTACCTTATAATATGAGCGCCCTGTATCTCGGTAATGGAGGCAGTTGGTTTAGTAGAAGGAAGGCCTTGAAGCATTCGTATAACCCAACGGTGCCTCACATTCACCATTCTCCGCTCCAATATTGTGTATTTTTTTTGGCCCTTTTTTTTAACCACACATTTGTGCTGCCTTGCCTTCTTANCAGATAAAGTCGTGTCTTATTTATACTCTGTTCTACTGACAACAGGCCAGCGAAAAATCTAACAATCTACAGCAAAACCATCAATTATTATGGGCGTTATAACATAGGTGTGCAGCTGAACGAAACATACACGTCGAACCCCCCCAGACGATTTAAATCCCTGACGAAACATACACGACGAACCACGGCAACGGGTTAAAACTTAGTACAGTAAGGGTAGATAATGAACTTCATAAACAGTGAGAAGAACAATAGGGCACTTGAAAGTATGTGCACTGCCAAAAAAAAAAGGTATTTTTACTTATCACTGGTAGCGTAGTTGGTTGAGGCACTATGCTACAAACTGGAAAGTCATGGGTTCCATTCCTGATGAGGTCATTGGATTTTTAAAATTTCGCTTAGTGGGGGCGGAGTGCAACTGGGTTAACTCGGCATGGCGGCCACTGATTGATTTTTAAAGTTGACCTAATCCTTCCAGTCACACTATGGCCCTGGGGTCGACTCAGCCTCTAAGAGAAATGAGTACCAGGAATCTTCCTGGGGGTAAAGGGCAGCCGGCACATAAGGCTGACAAACTCACCTCCATCTGCAAGCCGATGGTCTCAAAAATGTGACAGCCTCGATGTTTCACAATTCTATGGACCTCCACGGCCTCTTACAGGGATAGCTTCTTTTTTTATTTTATTTTATTTTTTTATTTTATTATCATTAAATTTGGTTCATATTATGAATGCAAGTATGCAACATTTTATTTTTAGTATTTATAGCTGTGGCACAACCTGACAATTCTTGTTAATACCAAATAGCTCACTCATGTATGAAAGTGTATGCTAATTTATTCTGTATATTCTTTCAGCTCGGTGGGTGTTGTCGCAGTGGTGTATGTAGTAATCCTCATTGTCTGTCAAAAGTACATGGGGAACTTCATGCCAGGCCCTGTTAAGACTGGCCCTTCTCATTGGACAGATGTGTTTCTGGTTGTCCCTGTAATCTGTTTTGGTTACCAGGTGACTCAGCTTTTCACACTCTATAGTCTTAGAACTTGGAAATTCCAGTGTAACCTAGCATACAGTTGTAGGTGATAGATATCATGATACGAGACCATTCTCATTTTGATTTCACAGTAGCTGTATACTTTTCAGTTCATAATTGAACAACAGACAGCTCACAAAATGCACATACTGTAAAGAGGCTGTTGCTTTTATTTTCGAGGTAAGAAATTAAGGACACTTTCAGAAGTTTATATTTAGGGTCATTGTCTTTTTAATATAAATGCCACTTGCTTTCTTCATCCCTCTAATGTCCACATATTTTCCTGAGATCTTTGCATTCAAACATTTGTAACTTATTTTCGTCCCAGCCATAGTTCTAACCCATACAAGCAGCTGACAAAATTATTGTTTCATATATATGTATATTGACGTTTTGTATCTTGGAAAGAGAGTGGATTGATGGCAATTTCTGGACTGAATTTTAAGAAGCATTCTTTTAATATAATCTTCTCCTGATTCTGTCACTAACTCCACTCCTCACTGTAACTGTTGTTCACATGTGTGTAGGTCGTCCAGAAAGTGAAGACTGGTGATTAAAAAAGTAAATGAATACAATTAAAAAAATATTTTACATCATTACTGCAGACCTTGTATCATGCGACAAGTTTCTATATGTTTGAATCATATAAATCTGCCGTAATTGTATCAAACCAGTCTTTTAACTGTCTTCTTCACCCCTACCAATGCGTATGTCACCCAGAACTGCTTCAAGTGTTGTGAACAAGTCAAAATCAGTTGGAGCCAGGACCAAATTGTAGCGAGGATGGAAAAAAAAAATTCCCAGGCAAAGTCATCAAGTAGCGCATCTGTGTTAGCAGTCTTTACTTTCTAGACAACCCTTGAACATGAATTTTGAAACTGATTGAACTAAAAAAGAAAACAGAATTAAAATTTGTAAGATACTGAGTTGGAGCTTCTGAAATCGGTGTGTATAATCTTGTGCTTTTGATGTATCTGTCCGACAGTGTCATGTGAGCGTGATACCAATCTACGCATGTTTGCGTGAACGAAACCTCAACAACTTCACACTGTGTGCATCGGTCGCCATTGGTGTATGTGTCGCGGCATACACTCTAGCTGGAGTGTATGGGTATCTCACGTTTGGAGCCTACGTGACAAGTGATATACTCGAATCGTACTCTGGTTCCGACATGCTAGTACTTATTGGGATCTTAGCGATAGCAATCAAAACCTACACAACATATCCAATTTTGCTGTTCTGTGGCAGGTGAGTTGGTGTGTGTGTGTGGAACTTAGTCTTTGTACTTTCAGAGGTGCTTAACTTATCAGTTTAAATAATTGTCTTATGCTTGATATAAATCATCATTTCTGCAAAGCTAAATCTGTCTTTGGCTCTACAGCCCTTTTTTGGTCCTTGGCCACTTTTCAGTTCCTTAATCCTGTATAGTCGGTAGGACTCCTTTGATGGGGGATCAGTCTGTCACAAGGCCACTACCTATACACAGAATAAATGCACACAGGCATCCATGCCTCGAGTGGAATTCGAACCCACGAACCCAGTGTTTCAGTGGGCTAAGACAGTTCATGCCTTGGACCATGGAGCCATTGTGATCGGCAACCTTCAACTAGATATACATTAATTTAATTAATTATATCCAATACAAACATAATTTGACTAAAAAGTAGATAATACCAAGAGCTGTGTTACTGAGCATAATGTTACATGTTATATAGTCATATTCAAAATATGGATCCGTACTAAAAAGCAAGTTCAGCACCTAAGCACAAACAATACACCCGATAAAGAATTTGTCTTCTTGGATGTGGTGCTGTGTAGATCTTGTGTAAACCAATGTTACTCCAAAACGTCGGTTTACACAAGATCTACACGGTGCCACAGTATTCGTGATGGTCACCACCGTGTAAACCTCAGATCTTAAATACACCTGATGATGACCCAATAATGGTCGAAACATATCTTGTTTTTATGATTTTAATATTTTAATGTAAATAATATATATTTGTATGTTTTTATAAGAAATTGATGGTTGTAAAAATACTTGGTGTACATGACACACAACAGGATGCAACACATAAAGATCAATCATTTATAATTTTGTATGACACATGGTCACGCTTTTGTTTCTAGGGAAGCTGTAAGCAACCTGTGGGCCAACTTGTTACATAATAGTGAGAGTGATGTAGCAGTGATGGAGCGAAGGCGACGCGTCACCATAGCAACCATCTGGTACATTCTTACACTTGTCCTGGCAGTACTGAGCCCAGACATAGGTTCTGTGATTGATATACTGGGAAGTCTGGCTGCTGTTTTCATATTTGTATTTCCAGGTAAATTATGTGTGCAATATGTAAGGCATGTTTGTGCCATTTCATACTCAGAAGATTCTGAATTCGAATCTCAACTCAGAAACCAACTACACTGATATTTTTCATGAGTTTCCACATTCTATCCAGGAAAATTCTGGCAAACTACCTCAAAATAGGCTAATACTGTTTTCTTTTACATCCTTTCAAATTCATTGTTTGTAATTATACTCTTACTGTTGTTTTCCCCTTTTGCTGAGTACATGAACTCACGCTTCTTAATTAGAAGTAATTTTAGATTATGAGATTCGAGATTCTCACATTAGTGAGTATTAAGACCATGGTCTTGGGATGTGATATCATGGAGTTAGATACCACATGCCATAGCTCAAGCGGTTAGTCACTGGCTTCCCACCATGGCGGCCTGGGTTCGATCCCGGGTCTGGTCAAGTGGGATTTGTGGTGGACAAAGTGGCTCTAGGGCAGGTTTTCTCCGAGTACTTTGGTTTCCCCTGCCAATCTTCATTCCACCAATTGCTCCACAATCACCCTCACCTATCATCTGGGGCTGGTACAATAGGCCAGAAGTGGCCGCAGTACAAGGGAATTAGATACCAGCATTTCAGAGAAACCTGCTGCCTCCATCTTCATGGCAGAATTTTCTTCTGAAATTTTTATTATAATCATAACTCTGTAATTTGCTCATTCTCTTTCTGAGTACAGTGCTGTCTCACCGGTGACTAACTCACCTCTTGATTCTCAACTCATGACTGCAGTTCACAGCCTTCTAGCCCTCGCCTGTCTCATCTGGTTATATAGCCTCTGCGCAGAGCACGCAGAAAATGGCAGAAAACACTGTGTCATAATCGTTGTATACCAGCCGTTGCATAGCAATGGCTCCATGTTTAATGATATTGTATTTCAACATCCTGTTGTATTGATGTGTCACTTTACACACTTCCATCTTTAATGCAAATTTGTTTACAATTTCTCCTTAATTTAAAATTATATTGCTACATGTTTCAGCCTTAATTGGCCATCCTCAGGAAGCTGTTCGTTCACTGAAATTGCTACTCTGCATTAATTCTTAAGTTAAAATATTCCAGTGTTATTGCATTTTCGTTGTTCACATTAAAATACATCTGCTTGAGAACATCACTCTTTGTCTTATCTTGCAATACTGCATTCTTATAGTGTCTGTGTTTTCTGTGTTGTTTTGTTTAGCCCTATTAATATTGATGTGGTATTGTTATTGTTATTTTTATGTGGCCCATTAGTGTAATTCTGTTAATGTGTGTTTACTGTGCTACTGGCTAGCAACGGGTGGCGTCTCTTGTTAAGCTATTCGATCATGTTGCAATAACTAACAAAGTAACAGTGTCACATCATAGAAGGCCGTAGTTTTATTTTTACATTAGTTTTCACTATCATCTTGAGACGAGAGATATTCTCCAATGAGTATATGTTTCCATTTAATACAGGTCCATAGAAGCAGGATTTTTCTTTTCATCACCAAATCCAGTTCAGGTGTGAGGCCCATTCCACTTCCTATCTGTGGATACCAGGGGCTTGTTCCCTATGGGTATAGTAGCCAGAGAGAAGCTCACCATTCACCTCTGTATAGTGTCGAGGTCTAGAATGTGTGGAGACTTACTTCTGTGCCTCCTGTCATGTCTTTATGACATTGTGTACAAGCAGGGGGCAACTTAACTTTTAGCTCAGGTTTTTACACATGTTTTACTATATTGTTTGTGGATATTGCATGAGAAGAACTTTTTATCTCTTATGTTTCGTTTCGCAGGTCTGTGTCTGATGCAGTCCACTCTACATAAGGATCCTCATATTATCCTCAACAAGGATAGGTTTGCAGTCCTTGCAGCCGTCCTCTTCATTCTGCTTGGAACATTTATTTTTGGTGTCGTGTTTGTCCAGGCTGCCATGCGCCTCTATAACAATCCTCCAGTGAATGTAAGGCTTTGTAATTGATATTATGGTGGCTGGTTGTAGACGAGATACGAGGGAAAGATTGGTTCCATAAATGAAGTGAACGTATGCATTGCTGTTTTAAATGACGAGGACTGTGAGTTAATTTTTGCTAACCCTTCCACCGTGAGCCTCAGTATGTACACAGGCTGTGCACGCCTGCATAGCATATACTCTCTACACACATCCTGGAGACAGTATTGTATGCTCATATCATCAGTTATCATCATCCAGGAAATCAGTTTATTTCACAGTTCTCCTTACTCTGATCCATTCAGAACCCTGGCCGAACATCCGTCTCCCTATATTCATACCAATTTTTCAATGTTTGACTTACTCTCTTACCATGAGGCAACATGTTCCTCATAAACAGTACAGAGTGTCATATCCCAAAAGTCTGTAATATACAGAAGTTTTCACTGTTCTTCAGAGTGGTTTTATATTTTATTTCTTGTATATTTCTGTCCTCTCAGCTGGTACATGTTGTAAGGACGAAGGATTTCTCTTTGCATTGCTTCCTTTCTCTTTTCCTGCCTCTTTGTATGTACCTGTGGTGAAGAGGCTATTATAGACAAATAGTTTATTTCTGCATTTCACCTCTCTCTTAAGACTACAACAGTATTAGTAGATTCTGAAGGGTTCTGATGGTTGTGTGTAACACTCAGAATTACTGGGTTTTTGTCCATCGTCCAGAATTTCAGAAACTGTAGACCTAGGTGTCTTCCCCTCAACCCCCCACCCAAGGATGGAAACAGATCCAGTTTCCTAAATGCTGTGTTTTGTAGTTTCTAGAATAGTGGACGATGGACAGAGTCCAAAAATCCATTATGAGTACAACAGCATTGAATGAATTCATCTGAAGGAGAGAATGNAGGTAACTGCCCCAAATTTTCACCCCCCCCCCCATCGTTTGTCATTTATTTTTAAACATTTAAACAAATATTTTCCAGATTCTGCCTCTGTTAGTTTTGATTGTAAACATATGCCTGAGGCTCAAGGAACAGAAGTTTGATTCCTGGCAGGTGCAAGAGATAGTCCTCTTCTCCAAGACCAGCTCTAGGGCCCACTTATCGCCCTATACCAAGGGCTGTTTACCCGGGAATAATGCAGCTGGGGCATGAAGCTGACCACTCATCTCCATCCAGTGCCAAGGTTAATAAGAGTGGTGGAGCTATACCTCCATTACTCTCTGTGTCTTCAGGGCATAATTCTTGATTAATAAAGTACAAGGGTAGTCCTGCCTTACGTCGGGCTACTTGCAACTTCCTTCTTCAATTGTGTCCATATTATATAAAGTCACTTCACAACGGGGTAATAAATGTTTAAACTTGAATCTGTGCCTCCTAAAATTTCCAATATTGCCCATGCCTCTCTATCTTTGTCTCGGTCCATCCATGAACTTGGACATCTCTGTCTATGTTATGTTACTGATCATCAGTTAATCAAGTCTGAGCAAGGGGTACAGAATCTGCCATCTCTATAAGATATAAATCATATAGTCTTAACAAGAAACTGGGCCTATAGTGTCTGTGAATCATACATATTTTCATATTGACATAATGTTGCACATATGAGATTTATCAGATCATTGTTAATCTTAGCTAATGAGGCAAAATACTGAATTAAAAAAATAAAAGATTTACTGCAAACAGAGTATGCAGCAGGAAATAATATACCAGTTAAATTGCAAACTGTGTAAACAGGTGATCTGAGGTTATGGTAGCTGTGCCTATGAAGACACTTTCGGGATGTCACACTGTTTAGTATGGCGAATGTTTACCAGACTACACTGTGTCAGATCTCAGAAGACTGTAATCTTCTATATGTAAATAGAATGTATGATGAAAGACTATGAAAATTATCATATCTTATAATTCAAAATGACAGAGACCAATTGGTGACTGCGATTAACCCTTTCTGATAGAATGGCCAGAGTTGATGCCTACCCTCTCTTTCGCCAGAGAACAGAAACATGTTCCCAGAGGTTGGGTTCACAATATCAGGTGACAAAGCACAGAGACTCAGTAACCCACGGTGTTCAAAAGAGGTGCTGCACCATGTGGATAAGAATTTATACACGTATTATAATTGGCGGAGAAATGAGCAGTGAGACAGGTTTTCTGTGCATGTGCTTTGCCTTTCCCCTGCCAGTTTTCATTCCGTCAGTGCTCGATACTGGTCTGTCTCCACCCAGCGAGATGTGTGGCAGGCCCTGCAGTCTACACGTTACTGTGACCTCGGTCAAGACCGAAGCTTTAAGTACACTGTGCAGAGGGGGCATGAAAGCTCTGTGGTGACAGCTGTGAAGTGTTTTCTTGAGAGTAGAGAGCATCTGAAGAGCAAGGCACTTAATAAGACAGATGTGTCACTTCCCACAATGTACAGACAACTCAAGCTGTTTATCTGTTGTAGGATGACTGTATTTTAACACTTCAAAGGACCAGCTAGGCAACCTGCAAACTTACCTGTAACTAACTTATGGACAGATTTAGGAAACTGCTTTCCATTCTCATATAAAGAAATTGTTATCAGATGTGAGGTTCTCACAGAACTGAATGTGAACATTACTGATGTCTTCTGGGATGTGACACAGTATAATGTGGCAGAAAGTTACCAATGTGTAGCAGGAATCTGCTGCCTCTGTCTTCAGGGTAAAAGCACATGCTGCATAAGAAAGCAGGAGGGTACAGGTGTGAGTGAATTAAAGGAAGGGAGAATATAGGCAGGTTGTGCCTCTCATTTCCTTGTATCTGTACCCTCAATACTGTGCAAGGCGTAGAGAAGTGTTAAAAGGTCAGATGCTGTCATTTGGTCTACTAGATTATTTAATGATATTATATAAACTCTACCAACCTGTGTAGTGCTGCTGGCCAGCTGATATAGCTCACAGTTTGCTCAGTTGCATTGTATTCTTACTCTCTGCAGTCTCTCTGATGTCTTTGTGTGTGTATCCTGTAACATGATCACAGATTCTACTAGCCTGTACTGTTATGGCACCTACACAAAGAAGGATGATGGATAGTGCTGCTGCTAGTGGCAGCTGGGAGAATGTCATAGCCAGTGAACATATGCACAGCACATAGTTGTTTGTGAAGAGCTTTATAAAAATATTAAATTTCTTTTTAAGTGAAGAAAGCAGTCTTCTGGGATTTGGCACCATGTATATGTGGTGTTAACCGACGTTTCGGAGGAACGTATCGCCTGCAGATTTCTTATATTTTTTCTTCTACCCTGAAGATGGAGGCGATACGTTCCTCCGAAACGTCGGTTAACACCACATATACACGGTGCCAGATCCCAGAAGACTGCTTTCTTCATAGTCACCGCCGTGAAAGCCTCAATTCTTTTTAAGTGTTTGCTAGTTGGATGAGAATTCCAGATGCATGGATACCAAATAAACAGGAGATTACTATATACACAGATTTTGAAGGCTATAGACTGTCTTGATTCTTTGTGGCTCATATTTTAATAGTATTGACCTATATGATGTGTGAATATTGGACCACAGAGAATAAACTTGTGTGTTCAGTTATACTCATATGTATTACTTATTTTATGAGAAATTCGAAAGACAATAAGACTGTGATACACTGTTTGATATGTACTAACATCTATATGTATTATGTTTTACAATATATGTTGTGCAATACTTCTTGTTTGTAAGATCTATTTGTACTTGTATGTTTATAATCTGAGAAAGACAATTAGAAATTACATTACTTGTAGGTCCCGAATTATTTCCATTAACCCTTTCATGAACAATCCTGGATATATCCATTTGTTTATTATATTTGCTGGGTCAACTCCAGATATATTTCCCTGTCTGTCATATTTGCTGGGCGAACCACATATATATTTCTCTTTGTTGTATTCACTGGACCAACCATAGATATATTTCTCTTTGAGGTAGTCACTGGGCCAACCATAGATATATCTCTCTCTGTCATATTCACTGGGCCAACCATAGATATATCTCTCTCTGTCATATTCACTGGGCCAACCATAGATATATATATCTCTCTGTCATATTCACTGGGCCAACCATAGATATATTTCTCTTTGTTGTATTCACTGGGCCATCTCTGGATATATTTCTCTTTGTCTGTCATATTCACTAAGCCATGTTTGTTTTGACTTGAGTTAGGCTGTGTTGAAGTCAGTTTACTCCTCTAATGTACAGCTTTATTACAACACGTTAAAATACAGGCTATTTTCTTATCTTTTAGTGTTTGTAATAGCAGTGAACAGTTTGGAGAAAACTACATAATAGGAGCTTGATAACTTGTATTCTTCACCAAGTATAATTAGAATAATCAAGTCAAGGAGGATGAGATGGGTAGGGCATGTAACATGAATGGCAGAGTAGAAGAATGCATATAGGATATTGATGGGAAAGCCAGAAGGAAATGGACCACTAGGAAGACCAAGATGTAGGTGGGTGTATAATATGAAAATTGTTCTTAGAGAAATAGACTGGGGTGGTATAGATTGGATCGATCTGGCTCAGGGAAGTTGAGTAGGTGCACAACTGGCAACTTCCCAAGAAGGGCTCAGGTCCATGAAGTTAGTTTTAGTTAGTTAATAGCAGTGGCTGCGCCATAGCTCAAGTAGTTAGTCGCTGGCTTCCCACCAAGGCGGCCCAGGTTCGATCCCGGGTCTGGTCAAGTGGGATTTGTGGTGGACAAAGTGGCGCTGGGATGGGTTTTCTCTGAGTACTTTGTCTTCCCCTACAAATCTTCATTCCACCAAATTCATCATCGTAATCACCAGGGGCAGGCTACAATAGGCGAATCAGTGGCCGCCGTGCCGAGTGGACCCAGTTGGACTCCACCCCCCACTAAACGGATTTTTTAATTAATTTTAGTTAATAGCAGTGAACAATAGAGTCTTAGTATCAATTGTTTATTCATATGGTATAGGCCCACAGACCCGACTCCTCGCCAATCTGAATCAGTATCGTCTAACAGTGAATGGTTGCATCAGAATTTATTTCTGTATTTCATCGTGGTCTTAATTAT